TATATTGAGTTACTGTTATTAACATGATATATCGACATACAGTACATCGAGTTAGTGTTATTAACATGATATATCGACATTCAGTATATCGAGTTACTGTTATTAACATGATACATCGACATACCGTATATTGAGTTACTGTTATTAACATGATATATCGACATACAGTATATTAAGTTACTGTCATGTTAATTACAGTAACTTGATATACTGTATGTCGATATATCATGTAAATAACAGTAACTCAATATACTGTATGTCGATATATCATATTAATAACACTAACTCGATATACTGTATGTCGATATATCAGGTTAATAACAGTAACTCGATATACTGTATGTCGATATATCATGTTAATAAATAACAGTAACTCAATATACTGTATGTCGATATATCAGGTTAATAACAGTAACTCAATATACTGTATGTCAATATATCATGTTAATAACAGTAACTCGATATACTGTATGTCGATATATCATGTTAATAACAGTAACTCAATATACTGTATGTCGATATATCATGTTAATAACAGTAACTCAATATACTGTATGTCGATATATCATGTTAATAACAGTTACTCGATATATGATATGTTGACATATTATGAATATCACTAGCACAGGATAAAGATAGTAACATATATCTTATCTCAATATCCAGTGTATTGTGTTCCATAGTATGTCCTACAATTACTGAATTAGAATAAGTTGACATAGTTATTTCAATTAATTATCTCAAGATATATCACCTGACATAACAGGAAACATGTTGGTTTCTCGAAATATTCTTTGTTGTGATGTATATTAATAAGTCTATATCTAATGGCAACTATACGCTTTCGTAATTTTCTTCAAATACATTTCTATCGTTTCGAATGGGACCATTTTACATTTTACAGTTAAACGATGCGCAATATAGTAAAGTTATTGACACGTGAAATAATTAGTATGGCCATAGGATGATTTGAATGAAATCCTATCAAAGGCTCACGTGATCAAAGTTGATTAGCCATTTAACATTATATGATAGAAAATGACAGAATCGATTTTTTCTGTATTGTTTAGAATTGAATATTCATAAAGAATACCGCTATGTATACAGGTGAGCATTGAACCAATTTCGAGTTGTGCTGAATTCCTGTTGTCTCCAAAGTGACATATTACCTCTGTGTATGGGCTGTAACAGAGTATAACGTTTCAATTGTCCTGAAGTTCATAATTTATAATGTACGGGCATATATACAAAACCTGATCACAGACTATTGTCACTCTTTGATTTCGCAGACCCCGAAACACTGGAAAGCGTTACTCTACGACGTAGATTAATATTTACATTGACGCAGTTTTCGTTTCTTCTTTAAAAGAACAGATCATTTTTATTTAGTCTTGTTCAGCAATCTATGTTGATTTCTTTTTGAAAGTAACTGAATCTACAACAACTGAAGAGGGAAAGCGTTTTAGAGTTCCACAATTTCAGGACGCCATGACAACGAACCCGAATGGAAATATCGTCTACACGTGAGTACAACTACATATTGATGTATATATATATTTCTATATGCAAATAACAAACTTTGAGTAATAACATTAACAAAAAATAGATTTATATAAAACGATTTCTTATTTTTATGCAAAGATGTTGAAGAAATAGCGGGTAGAAATACTAAAGTATCGTTCAACCAGACGTCTGATCACTTGTTCGGCGTAGCTTGCGCAGACAACAAGAGTCTGGTTGAACGGGACTTGTAAAAATACCCACATCAGAGTCAATTTTTCAGAAATGAATTTTAATGAATCAACTGAAATTGCATCAAAAGTAAGACGTCAGGCTAAAAAATACTTCGCTTGCTTAAATACTGAATTACATGTTTTCCTGTGGACAAAGATGTATGCTTATAATTGGATAATTTTCAGAATATATTTTTTCTCTCTCACTAAAACTGTTTTGTCATTTATACCTTTTGAGATTTATTTTTTCATATCTTAATGGCGGTATATCTGAGATGCGTTTACATATCTTCATAGTCACTGGTAAGGATGTTATGACTTGTTCGAGGTGCAGCTTCGGGTATAATAAATGTTATGCTTAATCAACCAGGAGATATGTTTCTAAACGCAAAGCGTTCCTGATTAAGTCATTGAATACTACTTTAGTGTCTTATTCTCATATATAGATACAACAAACAAAACTGTAAGGAACATGCATATCACTGTCTTATATTCTGTTGATATAAGAAAGTTATTTTCTTTACATGACGATTATGTGGAATGTTACCAAAGTTTATATAACATACACAAAAATATCCTTTTTTTTAGCGCGACATACATGGGATTCGTGATGTCAAATTAAGGTTCCACGTGTGAGGCTGAGCTCATATTCTGTTGCATTATTCTTTGGACACGACGACGCTATCTTACAGGTAAGCTTAAGGAAAAGGAAAGATAATTAATTGCTTGTGAATGCGTTCATATGTTTTCAAACTGCAGAGTGCGTTGCAGACTTTGGTATAGCAATGCTTTTGTTTCCGTACACTAAGTCAATATGGTCAGTCTATTTATAGCTAACAGTACCTAACATGTCAATGATTAAATATCTTAAGGATCCCCGTACCACTGTCAAAAACTGTAATTAACTGATTCTAAAAAACTTATTTTTTTCCGGCATGACTATAGCCTTGATAAATCTTTTCTGAAAAGAAAACCATGACGTGCGGGACGTTTATGAGGAATAATAAAGATGAAATATAATCAACAACAGTGTTTTGATTGTAAAAACAATCTGTGTGCAAATCAATCAGAGGGGTTAGGCCGGGAATCGAATATTTCACTTCAGATTTATGTAGCATTGCTCTAACCGATTGAGCTACCTGGTCAACCAACGGAAGTGTCCTGTCCCAATTATCAAAACGGAAGTTAAGGGGCGGTAACTGCATATAGGAAAAAACAGCGTGCAGTGGGGCATGCATCCTTAAGCTACTTCATGTTGTTCGACGCTACATGTAATAGGCTGCTTTCGTTTATCGCGATCCAAACGGTTGAACCGGTCGGACAAGAGTTGCTCGTTTATAAAATAAGGTCGGACCTTGTAATAAGATGCTGTTTTCAGGCAAGCCTTGAAAAAGCGTTGCAAGGCCTGCATAACCTTTTGTAGGTCCGCAAGGATTTATACGAACAAATGTTACATTTAAAAATAAACGAATCGGTTGTTCCGCATAAACGAATAGGCCCCTAGTTACCGTTTTATTTAGTTAGGCTGAACAGTCGCTGTATCTATCAAACGGAGATAGTTTGACTTAAAAAGCATACCCAACTAATTTGGTAAATTACACCGCTGAAAAATAACACAAAAAATTGAATTGTGAGCAAAGTTGTAATACGAACTGTAAGTATATGAAAAAAGATGTTCAACTGAACTGTGTTTCTTTTCTATAATATAGAGTAACCTCCCCTTAACTTTTCGTTTGGATATAACTGTAGCACATGTAACCAATACTCTTCATTTTACCAGATAGCGCAATCGGTTAGAGCGACAGTATATCAATCTAAAGGTCAGGGTTCGAATCCCAGTCTAGCACCGCTGATTTTTTTTTACAATAAAAACACTTATAAATGTTGATTATATTATGTTTATGTCATCTTTCTCTTTTCTCATAAAAGTACTGCAAGGTATGGTTTTTCTGTTCAGAAATGATTCATCAAACTTATAGTCATGCCGGATTAAATAGTTTCCAACACTTCGTTACAGTTTTTGGTATCCCTAAACGAAAACAGGTTTTTTTTCTGCTGCAAAAAGAAAAATTTGATAAATATTAAATAACAAATCATTTATTTTACAGATTGATTGCTTCCAACAATAGAGTGACGTCATTAAGAAGTTTACGGAACGACAGGTTTCCTTCAATGCTACCGTCGCCTGACGCATCAATATTGATAGCGGCCACGCCCACCAACAAGACAATTACGGACTGATTTGATGGTGATGCAGTAAAACGCTAATACTTCTCTTATTTTCAAGGAGAGTCTTATTGCAAATTCCTGTTCAATATAACAACTTCAACTATATATCAGCGTTTGGACCGAATGAAGGAATTACTTAACCCAGGAATATTCAAACATTTAAAATCTGTAATTGACAACGCGATCAGTGTCACGACGTCAGTTCTCCAAATACCAATCAGAGTTCGTTCTTAAAGGTGAATAGTCGAACATAAATAACTATTCTACAACAATTAGTAAATCCGTACTATAAATATTTAACATATCATAACAAACTTGTAAGAGTCGGCGTGACCAACACATTCTAAATTCAGGAGGTCCCATAACACGAAAACGTCAGCAATATTTTGATTATAAAAATAGTACACCAATACCAAAACCATAACAGATTCGCAGAATTTAAGTCCGAAAACCCAAAATGAACAGATCAGCTAACGATATTGTAAATAATACAATGATAGAAGCAGACTCAATTCAAATAAACAGCCTCTTTCCAATACTTTTTCAAACGAACGATCCCTACGTCATAACCCTACACAAATACATAATGCCGATTTTAGCAGGCTTTGTCTTCATCTGCAATTCTTTGACCATTGCAGTTTTCTGGAAAATTAAATTGAGAAACCCCACCCACATGTTACTGCTTAGTATCTGTTTGTGTGATATGCTCGGTTCCTTTTCGTTCGGGGTTATCGACGTCTATGTGTTTTATTTCGAAGACCACCGTGATTATCTCCCTTATAGAATATGTGAACTCTATACATTCTTGTATAATTTTTTACCAGTGTTTTTTCATTACTCTTCGACTTATTTAACCGTTGGACTGGCTATTGAACGGTATATATGCGTCGTGTATCCGTTTCGAGCTAAACTGATATGCTCTAAAAAGCATACGTTGATATTCATCCTATTTTCTGTTCTTTGTTCAGGTGTGTATCTTACATTTCAAATTTATTCACATACGTACTATGCTAACGAAACTAGTTCGTTCTATCTTACAAACGTAACAGTACAGGCTTGTAGTATCGAAGTGTCAAACTTCACGTTATGGTACCTACATCCGATTCTCTTTATACTTCTCCCTCTAGTTATTCTAATTTGTATCGAACCGGCCATTCTTAAAACATTAAAAAGGTCCAACTCCTTGAGGACCGCGTCATCACTCTCTGTGCACAAATCATCCCGAAATCTCTCGGTGATCACCATTTGGGTGGTCTCTATTTTTATCGTTTGCGAAGTGCCCATCTTGTTTTACGTCAGCGCTACGTTTGTTTGCCTTGAATTAGGGTTATGTTCATTCTTGCTGACGTCATCGTGGATGATTTACACACATTACACGGTAACCATTACTGCCGTTGGTCAACTGTTTAATTTCATCATTTATATAACATGCAATAGACGCTTCAGACGAGCATTCGGGAAAACATTGACAGGTCGCCGATACCTACTGCAGAGACGTTTCACAGCGGAAAGTTTCTTTCGCGAGACACAACTGTTACGTTCAAGTCGCAGCACTTCTCTTCGATAATTTTGTGGTAGAATATATGACTCATGTGTCACCAGACAATACTCTTTTATATGTTTGCATTTATTTATTACTTTAAAACCAGACGACATACTTGATTTTAGTCTCGTTCAACCAGGCGTTTGTTGTCTGCGCAAGTTACTCCGAACAGAGACAAGTGATAAAGCGTCTGGTTGAACGAGACTATACTTGATTTGGTTTCAGGCGCAATATCAACCGCTGAACGGATCTAAATCCGGATAGTTTTACGGGCTTTGATGTCATGGGTTATGATGGTGAGGTCAAAAATCTATCGTATTCTCAACAAGTATATAAAACTGTATTTTAAGTGATGAACATGTTAAAATAGAGAAAAAATAACTAAGCAAACAAATATACGAAATAAATGTTATTTGTGTGTTTTACGTTCTTGCCGGAAGTTGTAAAATTCAAGCAGAATAAAGAAACGAAACGATATGGACAAATTCTTTAAATTCTAAACATTTGTGAGAACAGAATCTGATTTTGGCAAGTTCAACAGTTCATGTCTGCTACACTATTGGGCGCTGAATTTGTTTGTGTACATGTAACGTGTATTATTGCACCATATTTTTCCGTCATTTTTATTGTGTCTATACTTGGTAAATGTTAGGTGGCTTTTTTAAAATGATCTGGCTTTTGTAATATTTTCTGTCTATTAGAACACGAGTAATAAGCGTGTTCTACCGGACAAGTGAAATAAAAATAGTAAGAAACACATCCAGTGGTCTAAGTGGTTTTCATTGCAGCAGAAGCAACATTTTGAGGGGGGGNGTCTTCATCTGCAATTCTTTGACCATTGCAGTTTTCTGGAAAATTAAATTGAGAAACCCCACCCACATGTTACTGCTTAGTATCTGTTTGTGTGATATGCTCGGTTCCTCTTCGTTCGGGGTTATCGACGTCTATGTGTTTTATTTCGAAGACCACCGTGATTATCTCCCTTATAGAATATGTGAACTCTATACATTCTTGTATAATTTTTTACCAGTGTTTTTTCATTACTCTTCGACTTATTTAACCGTTGGACTGGCTATTGAACGGTATATATGCGTCGTGTATCCGTTTCGAGCTAAACTGATATGCTCTAAAAAGCATACGTTGATATTCATCCTATTTTCTGTTCTTTGTTCAGGTGTGTATCTTACATTTCAAATTTATTCACATACGTACTGTGCTATCGAAACTAGTTCGTTCTATCTTACAAACGTAACAGTACAGGCTTGTAGTATCGAAGTGTCAAACTTCACGTTATGGTACCTACATCCGATTCTCTTTATACTTCTCCCTCTAGTTATTCTAATTTGTATCGAACCGGCCATTCTTAAAACATTAAAAAGGTCCAACTCCTTGAGGACCGCGTCATCACTCTCTGTGCACAAATCATCCCGAAATCTCTCGGTGATCACCATTTGGGTGGTCTCTATTTTTATCGTTTGCGAAGTGCCCATCTTGTTTTACGTCAGCGCTACGTTTGTTTGCCTTGAATTAGGGTTATGTTCATTCTTGCTGACGTCATCGTGGATGATTTACACACATTACACGGTAACCATTACTGCCGTTGGTCAACTGTTTAATTTCATCATTTATATAACATGCAATAGACGCTTCAGACGAGCATTCGGGAAAACATTGACAGGTCGCCGATACCTACTGCAGAGACGTTTCACAGCGGAAAGTTTCTTTCGCGAGACACAACTGTTACGTTCAAGTCGCAGCACTTCTCTTCGATAATTTTGTGGTAGAATATATGACTCATGTGTCACCAGACAATACTCTTTTATATGTTTGCATTTATTTATTACTTTAAAACCAGACGACATACTTGATTTTAGTCTCGTTCAACCAGGCGTTTGTTGTCTGCGCAAGTTACTCCGAACAGAGACAAGTGATAAAGCGTCTGGTTGAACGAGACTATACTTGATTTGGTTTCAGGCGCAATATCAACCGCTGAACGGATCTAAATCCGGATAGTTTTACGGGCTTTGATGTCATGGGTTATGATGGTGAGGTCAAAAATCTATCGTATTCTCAACAAGTATATAAAACTGTATTTTAAGTGATGAACATGTTAAAATAGAGAAAAAATAACTAAGCAAACAAATATACGAAATAAATGTTATTTGTGTGTTTTACGTTCTTGCCGGAAGTTGTAAAATTCAAGCAGAATAAAGAAACGAAACGATATGGACAAATTCTTTAAATTCTAAACATTTGTGAGAACAGAATCTGATTTTGGCAAGTTCAACAGTTCATGTCTGCTACACTATTGGGCGCTGAATTTGTTTGTGTACATGTAACGTGTATTATTGCACCATATTTTTCCGTCATTTTTATTGTGTCTATACTTGGTAAATGTAAGGTGGCTTTTTTAAAATGATCTGGCTTTTGTAATATTTTCTGTCTATTAGAACACGAGTAATAAGCGTGTTCTACCGGACAAGTGAAATAAAAATAGTAAGAAACACATCCAGTGGTCTAAGTGGTTTTCATTGCAGCAGAAGCAACATTTTGAGGGGGGG